ATAATAGTTATATTTTCATATGAAACAAATTTATTGTTCTTAAATGAAGTTGACACCATTTATATGGATGAAACTTTTAAATACTCTCCACTATTTTTCGCACTAATGTTCACTATTCATGCATTTAAAATTGCTATTATATTCATCTTATTTTTTATCTATTGTTAGACAAGTTAATGGAAATTTAAAAATTTACACTTATACATATATTTAGTAAATGTAATTCGTAATTTTATTCAAAATTTGTGACAGTCGATTTTGAGATATGAATACATAAAGCTTTAGAAGATGTATGGCCAAATTCAAAAATGTTTGGCTGTAGAATTTTCTAACACAATCTTGGTTTCGTTAAATTCAAATTTTAGGACTGATTTTTGAATATAAAAACAATTCTTCAGAAATAGGAAATTGGATAAAATATAATTTTGGGCTATCATTTTTTAATCCAGGAGTTATAGAAGATTGTTTTGTTGAAGATTTCATAAAATCATAATGTAATTATTTAACAGATAATTACATTAATGAAGGAAGTATATTTCCTTCTATTATTTAGGCATCAGGATCGTTTGACTTAACAGGAAGAACAAAGGCGAGTGAGTCATTTCATTTTAATCAAAGTTTCTATAAAGACACCCCTCCGATAATGTATTGATTAAATATTTTAAATGAAGTTTGAACAGTAACACACATAAAATTGAGAAGCATTGACATCCCAAAATTTCCAAAAGATTCACAACTTCGGCAACGTCAGAACATAAACTTTAATAATATTACAAAATATCAAAGAGGCGAAATTACGCGTTTGGAATTTATTAAGAGCAGGTTTCACAATTAGAAAAAAAATTATATGTATTTTAATATATTATTATTAGTAAAAAAATTTACTTAGAAAAATTTGTATGTTTGCACAATGAGCAATTAGTAATTACATTACCTACCTCAAAAGTAATTATTTTGTGCACCCGGGAATTGGGCCACAATGGACATTTTTTATAAAAGATCTTCAGTAATTAGGCTACTAAAGTTGTACATACCTAGTAGACCCACTAATAGGGCCACTATTTTAAGCGATTTTTTGTTATTGAATCCGGTAATGAGACCATTATATTATTATTATTTGACTAATTTTAAGTAAATTATTTTAACGTAACTAGTTCTATGTGTATTTTTTTTAAAAAAAGCAAACAAAAATCTTTAATTGTCATGGTCATAAATTGATTGTACGTGCCTAGTTTTGTACTTTATATTTATTCAAAACAAAATACTAAAATTATATAAGTACGGTATAATTCATAAATGCTATATATTCGTATATTTTTATGCTATACATTTATAGTCCAATCTCTGGGTATACCCTATACAAATGTATATTTAATTTTGTAATAAAATGTTAACATAAACTGTATACGAAGCAGATACGAATAGATTAAATGTAGCCCAGTTACCAACCTCGCATTATTTTGTATTGGTTTGTTCGTTTAATAACTACGATTATTAAGACCTAAATAAACATTTATTTATTCATTCATATGGCTTAATGACAAATCAACATTACTGTAAATCTAATTTATAACTTTATAAGTAGTAATAACTGTGAAAATTTGAATAAAATTATAAATTTATAACATAAATAAATATAAAATATATAATGGAACAATATCACAGTAATCACATAACAGCTTAGATATCGTATAGAGTGAATGATTCACAGATGCACGTTCAGTTCCTGATTAATTAAGAATTACCTACATACACATCATTATAATTGAGAAATCGTTAATATTTTTTAATGTTGATTTGATAATGACTGTTCAGTATTAATATTTACGTATTAATCTTCGGTAAAAGTCCTCGAATTTTAATATAATTTTGACCCGTTTATGCGATAAGAGAATTGAATCATATTAAAAGCCCTAAATCAACCTTAGATCCTCAAAAATTATTGAAATATAAGGAATCGTATTTAATAACTACGATACGTGGAAGATCCGGAGTGTTATTGTTATATATTTTTTTTTTCTCTTTGCTCATAAACATTGTTCACATTATTGCGTATGTTTAAACTGTTAAAAGTGAAGAATTAAACTGCGCTTATGTTCGCGACATTATATTTTAATATATCAAGTAATAAAGTAAATTTTATGTGTATAATAATGTAATATTAGTCTATATTAAGACTGGTATATTATAAAACTTTGAACCGAGATAATAATGAAATCTGGGCGCCATTGCCGCGCGTCCATTTTATGGTTACTCTAATATAATACTATCAAGTCAATATTTACTATCTATTTTATACTATCAAGTCAATATTTAATATCTATTTTATACTATCGAAAAATTTAGTCCTAAATCCCTACCCGACCCTATATAGTGTACACAATATTAATTTAATATCATATTGCTATCAATTACTTTCATTCTTAAATTGAGCTTTTTCAGAGCACTCATCTTTTCGGCGTGATTTGTATTTTCCAATTCGAACGCTTCGGTCAATTCGCGTTCCCAGTTGAGGTGTGCGGCGAATACATCGTTCATTTCGGCTTCTAGAATATCGTTTTGTAACTTTACTAATTCCATATTCTTTATCAAATCGGAATTTTTTTGTTCTTCCTAGGTAAGTATATACACATATTATACACGTATATACACATATCTGACAGTTTAATTATATTGTTATTATTATTTAAATTCACTATTAAATGTATTACTATTACAGTTTAAAAATTGCATTTTATATGTTAATGAATCTAGCGCTAAAACACTTATTATCTCGGAAAGTATTATTTACTTTATTTAGAATTTTCTTTTTGGAAAATATAAAAACAAACAAACAGCTCTTAAAGCTCGCCCTTATTGTATTCGCCTCAATGTTTAGAAATTAAATCATTGTAATATTTTGATTTTTAAATGACATCATAAAATTCCAACAAGTAAATATTAATAAAACTGTTTTTCAAAAAATAATCTTAGCATTGACAGATTCAAATTCTGATGACCCGTTTGAGAGTATAGCTCTGTCAAATACATGATAAAGGACATAATTCAGGGCACTATGATAACGTGAGCAAAATAAGGGCAATAAAACATTTTTGAAGACGTTTCTACATTTTTCAAAATAAAAATGTGAAACAAATACTTTTTGAGATGTGATTGTCTTATGATAAGACTGATTAGTGATCACCTTATATTATATTGAACATTATTTTGAGCAAATTAATGAAGCAATTACGCTTTGTTTTTATACAATTATATATTTAAAAATAATACTAATACATATAATAATAATGAATAAAATTCATTGAATTTTCTAATTCAATAAGCCGAAAACCGAAATAACTATTTTTTTTTTTTTAATTATTAATTTGATTGTATATAATAATAATAATATACTATAAAATAATATGATAATAATAATATATTAAATAAATAATATTTATTTATAAATAATTTCGAGTTCAAAAATGCAATACAGAAACAAATCTAAAACGTTTTCATACACAAAAAAAAAAAATTGTCACCCGTTTTACTCCCTTAATTTATGCTCGTGTGTGAAACCTAAAAATCATATTAATATTAGGTATTATCAAATTTGTTTAATCAAAATTAAAGTGTTATTTTAAACCATGATTGTGATATTCTTAGTTATGTTATTTTACTACTTACTGATATTTTACTGTTTATATAATATGGCATTAAACTTAAACATTATAATAATTAAAAAAAAAAAAAATTAAAATAATAAAACTGTTTACAAAATGCCAAAAAATTACAATAAAGTAAATCAATAAGCTTGATTTAATATGTAAAAATTAATTACTAAAATGTCTTATATATATTTAGCAGAAAAAATAGAAACGTTTCTTGATACGGAGAACGAAAAATGAAATTTTCCTAAACGTTTTTACTCCTCGAATTTTAAATAATATACTGCATTTTGTAAGCATACAGAATATTTCAATATTTATGTGTTTTTTCAAATAGTTTAATACAAATCATACGGCAAAAATAAGAAGAAAAAACACTTGCCAGTAAAATTTTTCGAACTCCATAAGCAACCTTGCTAACGTACATACGTTGATACGCGTTGATGGTCATAATAAGTTCATCGCGAATTTGAATCAATAAATAACCTCGTTCCGTACAGTTCAAAGTCGATTGTCTAATAATTTCGTCTAAAAAATTACAATCCAAACAATATGCATATAGCGTTTTACTAATTATGTCTTTAGTTTCATATTCGAATAAAAATACCCACATTATAGGTTTTTATAATAAGTATAGAGTTATCAAGTATATTGGTTTTATATTATGTATAGAATTATCAAGTATGTAGCTCTTTTTAATTATTTTTAGCTATTTTTTTTCTTGGTTTTACTATGATGTGTGCTTTTTAGTTTATTTTTTTGTACATATATCTGTAAGCAACTTTTCTACCAGAAATCTTGATCCGATGGATAGATAGGTGTAACACCTTTTCTGAAACCAAATTTTTAATAGGTGGCGCTTCGAGAGGATCATTTTTTTGATTTCCCAATGAGCTTTAATAACAATTGGGGAAACTAGATAAAGACAATATATGAAAAACTAACAAATGTACGGCGTACAAATGTATGATTCCTTCATTTAAAAATTTGTTCGGCTTATATTTTTTACCAGAAATATTTCTCTAATAGGAATACAACAAGTTTTTGTTTTTTTAAAATATAATAATATATTATTAAATATAATAGCGTCCACACAAAGAACGTAGACAAACACCTTTATGCAGCAATGCGCAGGATTGGCGGGTTGACAAAATCCACATCACAAAAATGGCTACCAGTGCTTAGTAACATTGCTTCGTAAAAGTTACGAAGAGAACATGCACTCCTGCAAGAATGGAAAAAGTATGCTAATAACCCTCCCTTCCTATACAAGCGGACCTGATTACATTAGAAAATGTTCAATGACTCAAATCCCGAAAACCATCGTGGAAAACAGCAAGGGATCTCACCNGGATGACAAAATCCACACCGCTAAAATGGCTACCAGTGCTTAGTAACATTGCTCCGCCAAAGTTACGAAGAGAACACGCACTCCTGCAAGAATGGAAAAAGTACGCTAATAACCTCTCCCTTCCCATACACGCGGACCTGATTACATTAGAAAATGTTCAATGACTCAAATCCCGAAAACCATCGTGGAAAACAGCAAGGGATCTCACCAGAGATAAATTCAATATAAGTTATAAATGGGAAAGCGACTGGACAATAGAAAACCCAGATAACCAAAAACTGGTGATTAACCCAACTATCATACAACCAGGATTTGAACTTAAAAGAAATACTTGGGTAACACTAAACCGTATCAGGACTGGCCATGGTAGGAGTGGTCACATTATGTATAAATGGGGAATGCGTGACACTGAAACGTGTGACTGTGGCTATGAATCCCAGACGATCAATCACATCACCACTATATGTTCAATTCGTGCATTTCCAGGTACCATGGAAGATATCCACTTGGTGAAGGATGAAGCGGTGGAATGGATGAAGAACCTGGATTTGGAGTTACCATATGGGAAACCTCTTGTCTATTTTATGTTGGTAATGAATTTGCATTTCATCAATATGTTTGTTTATTTCTGAGGTTTATCACTGTTAACCATCTTTTTATTTTATACATTTTATATCTTTTTATATTTTAAATGTTTCTGATGTTGCTCATAGACGCCATACGAAATATATATATATGTATATATACCATCAATATATTGTATTTTACACGTATAACAGTTTTTATTTTCAGGATGATCAAATGTATTTATAAAATATGTCACCAACTTACTAAAACATTGTTGGTACACTTCACGTCTGATCGGACAAATCCCTACTTCCCTGGCTTTATACAGACCTAAACTATTGTCTAAATTGATGCCAAGTTGTTTCACTTCGGTTTTAGTGGCTGGCTGACTTGAAATCTTTTGCCGACGCGTAACACCGTCCTTTTCCCATTCCCTAGGTGGCATTATAAGGCTCAGAACTTTTTCTGAACTCATTTCATTCATCAACCCACTATCGTCTCCCAGACCCAGTGGCAGAGGATTTTTGTCACATATATTTTTGTCCTGAATAGAAATCAATTATTATATTAGTATTGTTTTATTATAATTTTGATTATAGATAATTTATATATTCTAAGTGTAGCAAAGAATGTAATGGTTTTACCATGATGTAGATTTTTTTTTGTGTCAATAAAAAACTTTTCTAAATCTAGCACTATTTATAAATTTCATTGTAACTTTCTTGCAGAATTTTTGATTTAGTTTGGGGTGGTAATTTTTTAATTTCCTAAGTAGTTTTATTAATACTTTAAAAAAAACTGTCAATTTGTATAGTTATAGCAAAAATGTAATTAATACGACTAATAATGCAAAACTCAGAATCATTTTTTGTGAGCAATGATTAATCATTGCATACATATATTCTTCCTTCTAACTTTTTTTTGTATCAATTTACTTGTTTACAATTTTTCTACCAAAAATATTCTTCCGATCATGGTTCGGAATGGGTGTTGTCAGTGTTAACCCACCCGTTGTAGGTAAAAAATTAGGAATGTTGAATAAACGTATTTAATCTATAATTGCAAAAAAAGTTAAATCATTTTTAACAATAAACGATTCTGAACGAATTCGGTTATATATATTATTATGAAAAGTCGTAATTTGTACGATGTCATAAGTTCTATTTAGTGGCCAAAATAAAAAAGTCGACTGCAATATAGTTGTTTTTAGGTCTATTATCCCGGCACTCATACCTTTGAGTTTTCAAATGGAACCAAGAGCTTTTTGTATGATAATTTTTAACATAAGTCCCGACATTTGTGATTTTGAACTTTCCGAAATAAAGCAGTTTTTTTAGAGGTATGCTGAGTAAAATGTTGCACCTCCTTTTGACATTTATAATAACTATCAAAAGTTAATAATTTTTTTATGAGTATAGTTTATGCTAGTTGTATGCACATTTTAATTGTGCTATAGAAATGTTCATAATAAGTACTATTTCCTATTCGAATGATGCAGATAAAATTCTATCGGGTAGCACTTTTTATTTAATTGCTATACAATTCGATATTAAACGTTACTCCTGTAACCAATTTACCATGTGTTTCATCGTTACTCCATGTATACTTAGAGTTACACAATTAGCGTAAATCTAATTATGTATAATTATATATATATATATATATATATATATATGTCAGTTCAACGAGATAAAGTTTAATATTATTTTACTATGGACGAGAATATATTGATTCTAATAAAAGGGGAGCTTCAGACCCCCTGGACCGTCCCCAGTAAATCTGCCAATAATATTACAGGATTATCAATAGAAATCAAAATAAATACTGATTCGTACGAAAACATCTCTGTCTAAGGTAAACACATAAATAATTTTAATATAAAATATAATAATTATTTTTATTTTCATGTAGTGATTTCTATTTATTCTGATAAGTATAATATTACAATATTTTAATTTATAAAATACCTACTATAGAATCATACAAATTACAAAATGTCTGTAATACATTCAATTATCTGATACCTATACCATACGATTAGAAGACGGTACTTAATACATAAATACCAAAATCACTAATACAATTAGCTTACAACTAAACATAAATTATGCATACAAAATATGAACTTATGATAGATATTCTAAATGTCGTAAAGAGATGCAACAATTTCCCCAATTCACCCTAAAGAAAACGACTGTATCTCGAAAAGTTTGATAACACAAATGTTGGGCCTTACGATACAAATCAGCACAAGAAAAGACTCTTGGTTTCATTTCGAAATTTGAATGTGGGGTCCAGGGAAATGGACCTAGTTTTTTTTTAAATTCAAAAATGTATGTAATCGTAAACATCATGGTATTTCAAAACATAATTAACCGAAGTTCGCTCAGAATCCTTTTTCGTTAGCAATGGTTTATCTATCGTTGCATAAATATAATATAAATATATAAATTAAAATATTCATTCAACCCCAGTTTTTCTCTCCTACAACAATTTCAGGCTCATTAGCTATATTAAAGCTATTTTTATACTGTCGTAAATACGTAAGTAGGTTAGGTTAGATACCTTCTAAATTCAGCTAGTATGGCACTCATACAGACTAACTTTTGGTTTATACTAAATATAAACATACATTTAAATTATTAATTTATTAAAAACAATATAGCCTTGCCTTCCCAAATTCAACCAAACCAATCGATAAATATGAAATTTAGTTAGACATATTAAATTTTGAAACGTATATACCTATAATATAATTTTAATTAAATAACTCTGAATTTTGGAAGACACTCTATATTATATAGTAATAATATAAATATATAATAAATCTAGTAAGCACCTATAGTAGATTTTATTTCAGTGCATAAACCATATAACTATACTCACGAGAGAAACGATTACTACTATTATTATTTTTGTTATTATTATTATTATTATTATTATTATTAAGTACTTTATTGGAAGGTGTTTTAGACGGTTTAAGAATAATTTCTGGATTGTCGAATTTTACTAAATTCACATCAATCTGGATCGTGCTTTCTTGAGTATTTACATTATCCATTATTTTAATGGTGCAACCTGTGACTCCTAAAAAAATCAATTATAAAATGTTAAGTATTATTATTATTTTAAGCTTTATGAATATTACTCTTTGTATCGCACGAACAAATATTTTTAATATTATTATTTTAAATTCTATTACTAATATTAAAAAAAAAATCTGATAAAAAACAGTTGTGTAAACTGTCATTAAACTGTATTAGTGAATGCGTTGGTAACGCCATGGAGATAAAATAACAAAAATTAAAATATATCTATAGAAAAGCGTGATGCAATACTATCTTAAATGTTGAAATAGAAACAGTGTCTGAAATGCCGCGATTCAAAAATTTAAAATGTCTATATAAAGCTGAGAAATAGCCAGAATGTTTAAAAATTTGACCACATCAAAAAAAGGCTAAGAACACTAATACATTAAGTCTTTGTAAAAATATGAAAACGCTACTCCTAAGATACGGAACACGTATATAAATGCTAAAATTAATTTTGAGCGGAGTTAGGTTATACATGTTTTGAAAGACCATAATATTTAAGATTTAAAAATAATACATTTCGTAAATTTTCCAGTTTCTCCTACGTTATTTTCCGGATATATCCATTTATTATGAAAACCCCTGGAAAATTAAAAAATTCCTATTGGTTGCACTAATAAAACGACGCATACAGTGCTGCCATACAAATGATATACTACACTATTCTCTTCTCTGCCTAAATTTACAGTGGAGTATCTCATCAAGGAGATTGATGGAAATCAAAAATGTTAACACCAAAATTTATTTAAACTAATACTCCTTCCAAGTATGCAATTTTTAATATAAGGTCTTCTTTAAAAAACCAAAGTTGATATCGCCACAGGATACTCCTTTTATCTTATGGAAAACCTGAGTATTCGAAAATATCGAATTTAAATAGACCTAAAAATTCCAAAAATTAGAATTTGAATATAAACAAATTTAACCAAAAAAAAAAGATTAGCAAACTTAGTAAATCATCCTGTAGTATAAGGAAGACAATGTACTTGCTCATTGGGTTTTCAAATTAAATATGAATTATTATTACTTAAATATTATTTTCCCAAGTTAATCAAATTAACGTTTTTTATAACTGTTAACCTAAGTAAATAATTATAGACGATTATTATAAAACATTATTTAGTATATTCAAATAAAATCTAAAAGACTATGTCAGCTTATGTAAATAAATAATAACAAATTGTTTAAATTACAGTTTTGATAACTTTTTACATTGCATTCAATTTTTTCTCTTTATTTAGTAGTTTCGTTATACTTTGAATATTTTACAATAAAGGGCAAACACATTTCAATGAAAAAAAAGCTGATACTGGGTATGGGAGCGGCCACTTTTGTAGGAGAGAAATTGAGAAGGTAGGATATATAAGGTTATTTCATTTATATATATAAGCAACAAATAAACCATTGCTGACATAAGACGATTCCAATTACCGATTACCGTTCGGTAATACATAATTTGAAATGTCATATTTCTTTTTTGCGATTTTCGTTTAAATTTGATTTGATCTATTTTTTATAACTGAATTACATCAAAAAAATCCCAAAAATTAAAATTCCTTAAAAGCTCAAAAGTAGCTCAAAAGTTTAGAAAAAGAGATATTATGTGATTTTTCGATTAAATCATTTTTTTCTGGTAGAAAACCTCGTCCGTGTTTTTATCAAATAATGAAATCATGAAAAATACGTTTTTCTAAGTTTTTTTCCCACTTAAGTGCATTTATTTAAAAAATATCGTCGAAAATAAAAATTTAAAATAAAAAATTACTTGTTTAAAGTACAATCTAGACAACTTGAGCTTTCAAAAAAAGTACTATACGTAAAAATCGGAATAAGTTTACTAGGAAATAACGTGTCTACAGACTAGAATAAAGAAAGAGAAAAAAATAAACAGCATTGTAAAACCAATAGCTCCCTCGCTGTGCTCGGAATCTGAAAGCTTATAATATTTTTAATTCTATATTGTGTTCGTCACAGCCAACAAATGGTAAAGATACAGTATCTGTCAATAAGTTTGAAGTTATAGTAAAAATTGTTTCTACATTAATAATTATAATTTAATACTTTAAATGAAATAACCTAAATGTTTGGATTTTGACCCCTAATCAATTAAGTACACTAAAAATTATATAACACACTAAAACAATAAACAACCCTATCAATATACTAAGTAGGAAAATATATTTTATTTAAGTTATCTAAAAAGTTTGCAAGCAGTTTTGATTTTATAGTAATATCTTACAATTTTTTTTCTGGTGAATCTCTGAGGGCACCATCTAGTATTCGAATGTACAATACAAAATGCTTAAACACAAAACTTTGTCACATGCAAACAAAATAAACAATTGTATTAATTGTACATTGTAATATTTCTAAACTTTCTGTTGTTATTTATTATTGCTACTATTTGTCAAAAGACTTTCCGAAGTCAAAACGGCTGACTGCAAATTAACAATTAGAACCAATGCCCTGTTAGCAGAGTTGGACATTATTTAAATAAATATTATTTTGATGATTATTTAAATAAAATAGTATTCGATTAATTTTCATAATATTCAACTCTATAAAAAAATATTATTGGAGCCGTAGAGGATATATTATATATTACAAGGCCAACTATTGTTTTTAATATGGATGTATTTTAAATTACCAACCAATATTTTAAATAAATAAAAATGATTCAAATAATTATGTTTGAAAATTATTCGAATAAACATCTGGATAAAATTTTGATCAACTCTGCTTGCTAGATACCAAAGACAGATTTCAAAACGTAAGTCTGCCACTATTCTCATATGCTATTATTTCGATTTCCTAAGAAGTTTTCAAAGCAAATGTGAAAAACAAAAAGAAAAAAACGGGAAAATTTACGAAATATATTAGCAAAATTTTAAGGTTTTTTTTTCTATGAACAACTTTTCTACCAGCAATTTTGCTCCGATTTACAATGATAGAACTTTTATTTTAAAGAAAATATGACTAGGAACATACTTTAAGGAGGTAATTTTTTGATTTTCTCAGAAGTTTTCTCAACAAATGGGACAAAACATAGGAAAAACGAGCAAATCGGATCAATATTAAACAAATGTTATTAAAGAAAATATATAATGTCTATTTAATTAGTTTACCATAGTATGAAATATTATATATATTTGTTAACAAATCATCAGTATCAACTGAACTCCGTCCAGAATTGTTTTTTTCGTTAGCTATGGTTTATCGTTGCTTACAGATGTACATTAAATTCCCTTCTGTATCCTACCTTCCCAAATTATCATCTACAATAATGGCTGCACCCGTCCCTATTATCCTAAGACAGCTTTTTTTACTACAAAAATATGTAATCTCGAATATAATGAAAAATAGTTAAATAATAACAATACTATCGTGTATATGTTTTTACTCCGTATAGCCTGCGTACAACACCGTGAACTAGTTGTAGCGGCTGTTTTAGATTTAGAAATTAATAAGGTACTTTTTGTTACTATTAATTAAATAGTATTATAGTTATAGTTAAATAGTTATCTACTTTTAATGCAATCACACAATAATGCTATGCAGGACCTAATTTAAAGAAGTAGAGGCCCTGTACACTAGAAACATTGATGACATTTTCTTTTCTTTTTTTTTTCTCTATCTGTCTTCGAGTATATTTTAAAATTCGGCATGGTCGTGATAAATTCTTATTCAATATTTAGTCGATATATCTACCAAAAATATCTTTAAAGAATACAATTTTTTTTTTCATATAGAATGAGAAGAGGCCCTATGAATTTAGAGGCTTTGTATTCGTGTATCGCATACAAATGCATCAAGGTCTGACTCTACTACTGACGCCAATAGATTAGTTCGCATTATTTGTAATATTATGTCTACTTCCCCTTTTATTAATTGTAAAATATGCAATGTTTTATACTTAACTACCAATGCTAGGGGGTATACCCATCCATTGAATTAGGTTCGGCGCTACTGGTGCACAACTCATTCAGCTTTTACTTTGTCGGTATTTTTAACATTAGAATAAACCTTCATATGACATTGAAAATTTCGAGATTGAGAAAAATCTTTCTGAAATATATAACATTTTATTGATTTGTCTCTTGTGTGAACCAACATAATATTATAAACACTAAAAATAAATTTCTAATATTGGTCACATTTTTAAGGTTTACTAAGGTTTTTGACTAGAATAAGTTCTTGTGTGTACTACCAAATTAAATTTCAGCTCAAATGATTTCTTATACACATCTTATCTCCAATATGAATAATTAACTTATGTCTTTTTAAATCAGTCACTCTATAGTATGAATTGATACACAGGTATATTTGTAAGGCTTCTCTCTAATATAAAATAACTTATGATAATTTAAACTTGAACTGTTTAAATGTTTAAAGGAGAAAACGATTTTTCACGAACATCAAATGTATATATGGTTTCTGACCTGTATAAGCCCTTATATATACTGTCAAATCTACATTTTCGTTTAGATAATCTCTTGCATATCTCACATTTAAAATGCTTATCTTCCATGTGAACCAACTTATTATGACGTTTTAAATTGGACAATCATGAAAATGATATTTTACAAATCGCATAAAAGTTTTCTAAATGATCTTTGTGTGATATTCAGTGAGAGTTTTTTCATGCAGAACTATCCTTACAATTAAATCAGGGAATAACTTCTTTACTTAAGTCAAAAAATGTGATGATTTCCACACAAAGGCAATTGCACTTTCGTAGGCCGTACCTCTCTCATTTTAAAATATAAACATACGAGAAATATTTAATTAATAATTTTAGGATAAATAATCAAAAATAATTTATCAATTTCAAAATATACAACAGCCGCTACAGCTAGTTCACGGTATGCAGGCTATACAGAGTAAAAACATGTACACGATAGTATTATTATTATATAACTATTTTTAATTATATTCGAGATTATATATTTTTGTAGATCCACTTATAGCGTCAGAAAATCTGCAAACTCACCTTAACCCCATGGAAATTTGGTTTTCCAAGTGGTGGTTTAAAGTTAATCAAAGTAAATCCGTTCACACAACCTTCACTCTTATACATTCTCCTTGTCCTAGAGTTTTTCTATACGGTATTCCTATTCGTTACTCTCCAAAAATTAAACACCTAGGACTTACTCTGGACAAAAGATTAATGTGAGCTTATCATATTAGAATAAAAAGATTAGCATTGAATTATCGTCTCCACATACTCAAACCCTTATTATGCAATAATAAATACACCACATTATGAGAGTGATGGGCTTATTTTGAAGATAATTAACCGAACAAAAAGAAATATAAAATTTAGGAGAACTCCGGGTGTATCGACCTGAAACCTTAAAATTAATTTTTTGGGGAGAGAAAGGGAATCAATTAAACCAGAAAGTAGCTTATGAAGGAAAGAGATTGATTTTAAGAATTGGTTTTAAGCAAGTAGACAGTCTGCTGTCGAATCTAAATTAAGTTAAAGACGATTATTTAATCAGAAAAGATTAACTCAATACCACCTATTATTTAAAAAATAACTTAACCATGATAGTTAAAGTTTGCCAATCCTGGAATTATTAAAAACAGAAATCAGAGCCTAATGATTTACAGAACAAAAAGCTTTGGCAAAGTCCGTACACAAAATCCCACGAAGATATACCCCTTGAATATTTCCGGAGATAAAAAAGATAATCAAATTCTCTTTTTTTTTTTTGCTCACAGAGAAAAAGACTACGAATATTTATATTTTTTAAATTTTTTAGCAGTAAAAGTAAAATTACGATTATGAGAGAGGATATGTAAACCTCAGATTTTAAATCAAGGCAAGAGAGTGTCAATATCCAGTCATTGGAAGAGAAAAATTTATTTTATTTTATTATAGATGGCTTTACGGAAATTTTAAAATTAATGTGTTCTATCAAACAATGAGATAAATATGGGTTTAAAGAAAGGTGTTGTAAGAGGAGGGTGATAATTATCAGGAAAAACAAAATTATCATGAGACTTTTCAACCAAATTAAGATTATTACTACAAAAGACTAAGTCCAGAATAGATTCATAAAGAATTTACAATGGAATTAAGTTGGAAGAAACCATTAAGAGCGAAAATTCCAGTCACACAAGACACTAATATGGGAAGAGGAAAAGTATAGTAGACAATTTGTATCATTAGACTACGAAATATCAGGCAAATTGTAGTCACGAAAAGTTGAGGAATAGTTACAATATGATTGGAGAACACAATCGACGGTTGCCATAAAATGTTTATAAAATAATGAAAAGGAGTTAGGAGGGAATTATACACTGCAAATCAAAAACAAAATGGAACCAAAGGAGCAACATACAAATAAATGTGCAACGCTAATATCAGGGCCCACGACTAATATAGAAAGTCTGTTCATCAGACTTTCCATCATCTTGGATTATTTTAAACAGTATATGAACAATGAGCTTCTTGGTATTTATATTCAGTTAAAAAACAAAAACTGAGTATTTTAAAGTAAGTCGGTATGAAAGTTTAAAAATAATACGTATCTATCACAATATATTTTTTCACAAATTATCACAACTTTTTAATTGTAAACAGTTTTATAACAATATGATACATAAATATATACCAGGTGATCCATTTAAGTAGGTAAACTCATTATTTTGAAAAGTATTAACTTTTTCCGGAATTTGTTTTTTAGAACATATAAGAAACAAGCAGCTCTTCATTGTAATATTAGATTTATGTTATTCTTTATCACCCTTATTTTGTGGGGTAAAACCATTACTTACTTTTGATTTTCAAATGGCAACTTATATTAAAAATTCCGATTTTTTGATTTCTGTCAATCTGTTAACGAGATATTCCACTTTTAAGTTTAGATTGGATGAAAGTAGTGGAGTGTCAATTGTGGTGGTGCTGCGTGTGGCGTGTTAATAATGCACCACTACTCTCCTCCAACCAAAACTTAAAACAGAAATATCTCATCAACGAATTAACGGAAATCAAAAATGTCAACACTGACATTTATTTTAACTCGTCAATTTATGATTCTTAAATGATTTATATTTTTAAATGTTCTAGAAATCGAATTCGAAAAATTATAATAATTTTCGAGATAATGAGTGTACCCCCTTAAACAGTGGCGTATTTTATTGGGGAGCCCATGGGGTCCTGAATCATCCAATTGACTCGTGCATGTTAAATTTTCTACATGATTAAGAAAAACAAATTTTATCATACGATACGAATTATTTTGTAAAATTGTTCGACGATTCAATAGTTATCAAAATGTTCAATTAATATGGTCTTTTTTTTTGTTATCAATTTAGTACCAAACATGGTTAAAAAAATACCGAGTTATTGGTTATTGAAAAAACGCTCTGCTGTTATAAAAATTAATTAATTTTATTTACAATCAGTTCAATGAGATAATCCTTTTGTAGAATTAAAAATTTGGAAAGTTGAAATAAGCAATGGAGATGTCAATGCCGAATAAATATGTTAATAATTTTAAAAGGTTGAAAACTTATCTTAGATCAACTATGAATGAAGTAATGTTATAAAAATTATAACCTAACTATATTTTAAATTGGTTTTGTTTTTAGGATAGGCTAAATGAACTGGCATTGATGTCAATTCATCGGGACATACCCCTCAATGTGGACTCTATTATTAATAAAAAGGCGCTTAGCTCTAGGCGATTAGATTTTGTTTTGTAATCATAGAAGAAAATGTTATGTAATTTGTTTTTGGATATTGTTTTTGTAGATAGATAGTTTTTAATATTATCTTAACCTAAACGTTTCAGCTTTTCATTCTGTGTAATCGCTAAATTTCCATGGAATTTGCCATAGTATTATAAAAAATTTTACATCGACTTATAAAATAAATATGGTATATTTATTTAATAAAGAGTAATTGGGTGTGTAATAATAGTAATAAAGGTGTGGGAGGCAAGGCCCTCCACGGCTCTGTATTCTGAAAATATTCTGGTCCCTCCCCAAGATAAATTCTTAAATACACACTGCACTTAAATGGATCACTCGGTAAATAAATAATAACAATTAATAAGGATATTTCATTGTGTTGTATTTTTATAAGTATGGCTTTTGTATTGGACTATAAGTAAAATGTGTGCATCTAAGTTAAATTAATTATTTGGTATCATTGTGGTTTTTTTGTTATAAATTGAGAAATAATATTACCTATTTCTTTTTTTTTTTATGAATTTGTGGAGAATCTGTAGCATTTTTCGGAAGTATTTGTTTAGATACTTCTGTATATAGGCGCAAAGTTTTTAAAATATCAAGGAGTCTTTTTATTTCATGTGTGGATAAAAAGAAGGACGGGGAGCGATTTATATTTTTAAAATAAATGTAATATTTTGTGGATGAATGTGATAGATATGAATGCTTTTTTAAATACAAATTATAGAAACCCCGTCTTATAGACCTCATGAGAGGTGTCTGTGATTTTTTTTTATTTTCAATCCATTAATTTTTTAGATTCAGAACGTAACGAGGATTGTATTTGTTTTACAATGATGTACATATATTTTTTTTTATTTGTAAGTAACTTTTCTACTAAAAAACTTCCCCCAAAGTATCAAGTATAGCACTTTTTCTAAAAGAAAATGTTATCTTCATGGTACTTTAAACAGATCATTTTTTGATTTCCCAAGCGTTTTTCATAATAATTGTGGAAAAACAGGAAAATGTACGTACATATGTATTTCACTCCGAATTGTTTTTTTAATATGCATTCACTAAGTAGGTACCTACTTAATTTTGATTTTTCTGATTAAAAAGTAAAGATATTTTTTTATTTAAAAAGACGGACACACTTCTCATGTAAGTAAGTCACTGTTGTAAGTGAGATGTTTAGAAATTAGGGGGGAAATTTAATGTATACTTGTACGCAGTGATTAACCATTGCTTACGAAAAACAATCCTAAGAGGATTTCAGTTTATTAATATTATTGCTTTGTCAAAAATATATTATATGTCACATTATGGTAAAATAACTACATCATATGCGTTATATATTTTCTTTGGTTATAATTATTGTTTAATATTGTATCTATTTTGCCGATTATTCTCGTTTTTTAACATGTTTTTCTCATTTATTCCGTTTATTAATCCAAAAATGACATCCCTAAAGTACCTCCCTAGTCAAATTTCCTTTCAGAAAAAGTACTTAAAAAGTAAAATCGGAGCAAAATAACTGGTCGAAAAGTTGTCTACAGAAAATAAAAAATAATACTAAACATCATTCTAAAACATTAAATTTTTTGAAACAGAAGTTGATTACCTAGGGTATAGTTTTTTGAAGTTTTACATACAATTGAATAGAATGGAAGTATAAGTCCTCAAAAACAAAAGTTAGAGGCCATCAGAGAAGCTAGAGCACCTAATAATGTAAAAGTACTACAAGCGTATTTAGTATTATTAAATTATCATAGCAAGTTTATAACTAATTTAAGTGGTGAATTAAATGAAATTTATCAGTTATTAAAGAAAGGTGTTAAATTAATTAGGAGTCAAAAGTTTCAAGAATTTTTTGAAAAAGTAAATGTTTGTTATTACAAACATTTGGGGCTATCTAAGCACAAACGATGGATGGAGTAGAGAAACCAGTATTGTTTATTTCAAGTTCATTGTCATTGGAAGAACAAAAGTACTCTCAGCTGCATAGAGAGGCGTTGGCTATAGTGTTTGCGCTTAAAAAATTTCATAAATATATTTAAGGGAACAAATTTATATTATATTCGGATGCACAGGAATAGAAGGAAATATTTAGTCCGCAGTAAGGAACAGTGGTGGTTGGAGAGATGGGCTGTTCTACTGTTTATGTACGAATATGAATTTTAGTACTGGTCAAATAAGCAAATGGTGCATGTGGGGATGCCTTAAGCAGATCACCATTAAATGTAGGTACAGACATTGAAGAAGAGTCAATAAATAGATTATGTACAACAAATGAGTTTGATATTGACACTGGAGATGTAGTTTATAGGCTCTGAAGGATTATAATTTATTATATGAAGTGTATAATTATATTTTAGTAAGATGGCCTAGAAGGAA